TTACATTATGTAAATTGTATCTCAATAAAGCTGCTGGGGGAAAAAACCAAATAGAATATCTGACAATTCAAATGTGTTTGTCTTACCTGGGCTAGCTGAAGCCTCTGTTTCCTTTTCTTCACGACTTTTTGAGATTTACTAAAACCAACAAAAAATATATTTAATAGGTTATTCAAGAATGTTCACCAAACTCCTTACTTGCCCAGGCCTCATCTGAAGCTTAAATGAACAGAAAATCATTCAAGCCAGGTGTGGTGGCTTATGCTTGTAATCTCAGCACTTTGGGAGGCAGAGGCAGGCAGCTCACTTGAGGTCAAAAATTGGAGACTAGCTTGGGCAATATGGTGAAACCCCATCTCTACCAAAATAAAAAAAATACAAATAAATTGTACAAAAATTAGCCAAACATGGTGGCATGTGCCTGTAGTCACAGCTACTCAGGAGGCTAAAAGGTGGGAGGATCACTTGATCCTGGAAGGCCGAGGCTGCAATGAGCCATGATCATGCCACTGCATGCCAGCTGGGGCAACAGAGCAAGACCCTATATCCAGAAAGAAAAAGAAAACAACAAAAAAATGAAAAGAAAAAAAGAAAATCATCTGGACACATTAAACTCAAGCTGGATGCACAGCAGAAAGTCTGAGAGTTAAACCCCAAGCCCTACATACCCTGTTCATGTTACAAGTTGAGAGAGCGCAGTTTGAAATTTCACTTTTGCCCAGGTACTATGGCTCACACCTACAATCCCAGCACTTTGGGAGGCCGAGGCAGGCGGATCACGAGGTCAGGAGTTCAAGACCAGCCTGACCAACATGGTGAAACCTTGTCTCTACTAAAAATGCAAAAATTAGGGCCGGGCGCGGTGGCTCAAGCCTGTAATCCCAGCACTTTGGGAGGCCGAGGTGGGTGGATCACGAGGTCAAGAGATCGAGACCATCCTGGTCAACAAGGTGAAACCCCGTCTCTACTAAAAATACAAAAATTAGCCAGGCATGGTGGCAAGCACCTGTAATACCAGATACTCAGGAGGTTGACGCAGCAGAATCACTTAAAGCCAGGATGCAGAGGTTGCAGTAAGCTGAGATCATGCCACTGCACTCCACTGTTGGCGACAGAGCAAGACTCCATCTCAAAAAAAAAAAAACTTTTTTTGTCATTTCACTTTCACTAGGTGACAATGTGATCCTTTAGATGCGCTCTCCCTCAATAATTCTTTCACTCTCTTGAGTGACAAGGCTTTTGCTTCACCAGCCTATTCCTTTTGTACACAGTAGAGAACCAGACTGGATTCTCTCCATTTCTTCTGGAAACTCACTTTGCCATCATCAGGAAGTGTTCCATTCATCAAGTTTTACTAAATGATTATTGATGCTTATCTGATGATTTAAGAAGGTTCTCCATTTCTGTACAGGAAAACGGTGAGATTAAGGTAGGAATGGCTTCTGATTTTGGTTAAATTACCTAGACCTGATTTTTATTTACAGCTACTACATAAAGATTCTCAAATCTTTACCCTCCTCAATGATTGAATTTTAAACTTTGTAAGTTTCAAGAAGGGGGCAGAAAGATCTGGCTATGGACTATTGTCTTATGGAGGTCAGATGGTGGTCACCTGTGTTCCCACACACCTGGTTTATATATCTGTCATCACCTTGATCAACATCCACTTCACATGACATTCACTTCTGTACCTATCTGTCTCTGAGACTAGGCAGAAAACTACTAGTTCTAAGATTTTGCTTCATGCGACAACAAAGCACAGCGCTGGGTCAGGTAGACATTTCAGGTTTGCTGCAGTGGATCAATGCTTTTTCCATCATTCAAGGAACACTTCCGTTACCCAACACCTGAAGCAGACATGGCCAAAGCGGTGGTTACTTTTCTGCTCAGTCCCATAACCTGTCGTTTCTGATTGCAGACAGGCAATGGAAGAGGAGCAGATAGAAAGGATGGAAGTAAACTAAGAATTACTAATCAGCTACTCAATGCTGGACAATATGAGTTTTCAATGAATCCTTAAAACAACCCTATTAGCTAGGAATCATGAGGCCCAGCTTAGAACTCTGCAAAATAAAAGCTCTGGGGAAGGGGACAGGAGATGTCCAAGAGGCAAGAGGGAATGTGTACAGCTGGGTCTTGAGACCAAGCTCCAAGATTTGCGTATTTGTTCAGAAGGTGGAGAGCCTACAGAGAGCACGCATCATGCCAGACAGTGGGTACACAGTGGCCAACCCAACCAGACATCATCTGGCCTGTGTAGAGCTTAAAGCTCTAAGAAGGTGCACACATTATTCAAGAGACTCAAGAAAATACACGTGTAATTACAAACTGTGCTGATACCATAAAAGTTCAGTACTCTTTGTATTAAGAGGACACTGCCTCTCAACAAATACAGATGTTTGGTAATCACCAGAACTTATTTTATTCCCAGCCCTGAAGATGTCACTGTAGGTGCTGGTGATAGGATGGACATGGCACAATACTTACGTATATCCGTCATTATGTTGTAAACACTGGTTTAATACTTCTTCTCCAATGAGAAAATGGCACAACAAAGTCGAAATATGATTTCAGTTTTATTTTCCTATCTGTTTCAGTAAAAGATTCAGAGAACTGATTGACACATATCATAGGCTATCACCCACATATTTATACCCTAAATATACACTGTTTATGCTTTTTCTTTTTTATGGAATAGGTGACACTACCTTCGTTCAAACCAAAGTGAAAATGAAGAGATACTATAATTTTTAAAAGAGGGGTGTGTGGTCTTTTACTCTCAGAGAGTGAATGTGCATCACCACCACAAGGGGAAAGCACCGAGGAAGAATGGGCACCCCACAGGTCAGAGAGTCCAGCAGGAGGTACCAGTAGAGTACCTCCAAAATAACAAATCTGGACCAATTAGGCATTCCTGTGATTCCTAGTTTTTCATTTTTCTACCACCGCATGGCTACACTGGAATTTAAGCCATTTTCACAGTGCAAACATCAAAATGATCCAAGTCAGGGTTTTATGGCAATATTCTGCTAAAATATATTCTATTTTAATATACATGCTATCAAAGTATGCCTAAAAGGTCGATCTTGAGAGCTCCGTTAAAATCAAGAATTTGCTTTTTTTAACATATAGAATAATGTACATTCAACTCTAAAAGTACATTTGAGAAAAGCTATTAATGTGATCCCAAATATTTCTAGCTTCATATTTGGTTTTAATAACACTGATTTTGTAACACACATATTCATTAATGCTTTCTTATAATTCTGTATCTCAATGCCTTACCAATTATTTTAAATAAAAATGGGGGGGGAGGATCTGCAAATCTCAAGAGTTCTTTCTCATGCAAACTACTAAGTTTTTAATGTAAGTTCTTATCACAAAATTTTCATTTTATTTAAACTTTGATAGCCTAAATTTTTTATGACCAATATTTGAAGCTGTAATGGGAAAAATGAAAACACAAGACGTTGAAAATTAAACTTGTAGGTGGCCTAATTTTAAAAGTGATCATTCCCTTCTATAACATTTCCAATACCAAATTTAGATTTGTATGGATAGCGTGAAATACACTGGCTGAACACATGCCTTGATGATGAATGTATGCCCATAAAATGGACTCTTGGTACTGAGTGAATCTATGTCTAATCACATGTACATTTGACAAGGCTGCCGGCTGACTGCATCAGTGGAACCCAGGTATAGCTGCAATCTTTTGTTTTAGGTATAGTAGTCAGGCGGAAATATAAAATAATGGAAAGTTTTTGCTGATTTAAACAAAAATATTTACTCTTTTCATTAGCAAAACATTATTTAAAATATATCTATTTCTCCCCTCTGAACATTTAACTAGGAGCATTGGGCAATTTTTGAAGGTTTAGTACTGACTGTTTAATACAATAAATATAGCTGGGAGAGCACACAGCAGCAGTAGCTTACATATGTTCACCGACAAGAAATTTACTCTCATCTGGTTAGTGTCCAGTCCACCAAAGGAAAAGTTTGGCATTCGTGTGCTTTTTGTTCTTGGTAGGAATCAATTCTGCTTGATTTTCATTCTTGGAAGAAAAAATAATCAGCTGATATCCTCAGATTTTATGACATGATGCAAAAGAGCAATGGGACAAAGGTGACCTACGACCAAAAAGCTGGACTGGGATCGGGTCTCCAGGCAGATCTTCATTCTTGCGAGGCAAGTCTACAAAAAGCTGCACTAGAAGCCAGCAGTGAGGCATCAGGGACGTGGGGGCGGGTCACTCCCACTCGAGCGAGTATCTCCTGCTCCACTACAGCCACAACCCCGACTCTCTACCCTACAGAACCATGGAAGCCAGTTCACAGGGAAACAAGGAATAGTGAAGCACATGACTAGAGAAGGCCCAGGCCACAGGTCATTGTTTTAAGAGGCCTCCTGAGCTACTGTCCTCTGTTGAGATAATCTGCGGAGGATCTGTACACTGTGTTCTTCACAGCAGAATTCTTCGTTGCTCTTGAAAAGTTTTTGCGAGGCTGTGATTTTCCAAACAATTTTATCAGAAGTAGTTTGATAAAATTAAACTATTTCTTTCCAACAAACCAATCATGGCAAAAATTTCAGGCTCCCTCCCCTGAATTTTAAAACTACCTAAAGGCAGAGTATTTTCCCCTGGCAAATGATTACTTCTTTGAAAAGTAGACAATCTTTTTTTTTTTTTTTTTTTAAATCCAACTAAGCCCTTTAGGAAGTACTCCAGACTACACGAAGAGGAAGTGCAGGAAAGAACTGACTTCCTATTGTGCCTTACATAAAACATTTTGCTAAAATTAAGAGCAGCTCCAAGTGCAAAAGTAAATATTTGTGCAAAAAGGCACACTGCCAGGTGCAGTCTTAAAACATCCTCAACTTACTCATTTTATAGTGTTTGACTCTTTAAAATACCAGTCTTTTAAATTACGAAAACTAGCAAGTAAGGGGAAGGAAGTTCACATCAGAAAATACACTTTAGAAAAGGTACAAGATATTTTGCTGGCAATTTGCTACTTATTTCATAACATAGATCAAGTAAGTGTTTGTTAAATATTCACAGCAATTTCAGAGAGAAACATGTCTCCAAAACTTCAATCTATTGCATTTCTAACTATTTTTCTGTATAATTACAAAACATCTGTCAGTGTTTTTCTGCAGAATTCCTTCTTGTCAGTTCTTCCCTCTCTGGATCCAGTTACACCTTCAAGGCGGGTTGTAGGATTCCTTTCTCAATGAGATGAATCTTCAGGGTTTTATATATATTTAACTGATGTTCTGGTTGAAGCACCAACAACTGCTGTAGCACTTTGCTGGGATTTGGGCCCCTGATGATAAGGCAAAGAAGACGAGTTCATGCTATTTTAATAAAGACAAGGGAAGCATATACCCCTCAATTTAAAACAAACCATTCCTTTAAGTATAGAGTAGCAATCTTTACAGAATTAAAACAGTTCTTGATAACAGCTCACTTAACGTGCAGTTATTGTCAAGGGGATAAACAGAACAATTCTGCTTTGAGAAGCATACAGCAAAGAGGTAGAAAGAATGCACAAACACAAAACACAGGAGCAATCAAAGGCAAATGAAGGGGTGCAAATCTAAGCTCTACAAAAGTTCTCGAAAGGGCAGCCTAAGTTAAAGGTCGGGATAAATGGCAAATCCTGAGACTGAATGAGACACAGGAACTATTCTGTAAGAAAAGGAGCCTGGTGAACATAGGACAAACCAAAAAGAGGACATGAAAATATAACTTAAATTTTTAACTTGAAAGAAACTTCAGATGATGAAAGGCACTTTGTTGAAAAGTATCTCCAGGGAGCTATGGATGTTCAGAGTCAGAACACAAAAGTCCTGAACCTAGCACTGAAGCCCCTACCAGTGATACAGGTAGGTGCCATGGCTTTTGTTAAAAAAAAAACTTAGGTAAACTCCAATATAAAAAACAAAATCAAAGCACATCTGCTTTAAAATCCAATGGGAAAAAGCAACATACAAGTAATGTATAGGGACAGCACAGAATTCTAAGAAAGACATCTATGTCAGTAAATAAACGTATGACTTACAATAAAGACTGTTCACATAGAATTATAGGAAGTAAAAATCCCAGCAACAAAAAAATGTCTGCTACTTAGTGATATCACAATGAGGATGAGTAGAGTAACTATTTACTCTGAAAATCTCTGACTTAACAAATTGAAAAGAGCCCAGATGAGCCATTCCATGGGTCCTCTTCATGCATGTGGCTCAACTCATCGGCCAAAAAACTGTGGCCATGTGCCTTTCACACTCAGGTCAGGACACTGTTCATCTTACTTCATTTCTTTAAAAGAGTCAGCAACTTCGCAGCATAAACCCAGAGTAGGGGCCCACAGAGAAAAGGAAGGCTGCTTTAGCAAGTTCAGCGAAATGCAAAATTGTGTCAGCAGGTGCTCCCAGCTAGTTTCATCCTAACACTTTCACTGTCTTCTAACAGTCTAAGTATCTGCTTTCAAATGGTGGACAACATGGCTCAGCATGACATCTTCCTACTAAGAGAAGAGCATTTTTTTAAAAAAAGGAAGTGTATGAGTTAATGCCCTAAAAAGCTACTGTATTCTGAAAACAAAGTTCTAAGGATTTAACCACTAATTACTAATGCCCAAATAGATCAATAAATAATATGCAAATAAGTTAAATACTCCCACTAAAAGAATAAAGACTGTCAACTGTGTTATAAATAAAACGGGAAAAAATCAGCTATATGCTTGCTAGAAAAAAGAAGTACACATTAAATATAAGGAAAAAGAAATGTTAAAAGGAGAGACAAAGAAATACCACACAAACATTGACCAAAAGAAAACTGACATTGCTATTCTAATTTTCAACAAAGTAGGCTTTAAGGCAAGCATTAAAGACAGGCATTATATAATGACAAAAGGATCAATTCAACAGATATGACAATCCAAAATTTGTACACCCTAATACAACCTCAAAATATATAAAGCAAAAATTGATAAAACGACAAATAAAAATAAATATATTTACAATCACAATGAGAGACTGTAACAAAGCTCTCTTAGTAACTGATAGGACAAGCGGACCAATCACAAAAACAAAAATCAGTACAGAAGATTTAACTAAACCTCACCTGACACACACAAAACTACAACCAAAAACTACAGTACCAGAACAGATACCATGCTGTGCCAGAAAGCAGATCTCAAAATTATAAAATACTGAAATCATAGAGTATGTTTTTTGACCACAGTGGAATTAAGGAAGAAAAGTGAGAAAATCTCCATTTGTTTGAAAACTAATCAATACACGTCTAAATAACCCACGTGTTAACGAAGAAGTAATACTGGAAGTCAGAAAATATATGTAACTGAATAAGGAAAATACAAGTATCACCACTTGAAGGGAATATAGCGATATTTAATTTAATAGTCTTCAACGGACAGATTAGATAAGAAGGCTAAAAATCAATAAACTAAGTTGTATCTCCAGAACTAAAAAAAGAACAGCAAATTGATCATTAGAAAGGACAAGAGAATGAAAGATGAGAGGAGAAATCAATTAGGTAAAAATATATAGTAGAGAAAATTAACAAAGACAGAAGTTGATACTTTTGAAAAGATCAATGAAATTCATAAACTCCTATCAAGGCTGTCTCAAAAATAGTTAATATAAAAATTCTCACAGTGCTGTGGTACATATTTAAAATGTGTATTTAGGAATCTCTAAATAGGAATTTCCTTCCAAGCACTATGAAGAAAATTCATGTTTTCTATGGCTCAGGCACTATTAATAAGTGTTCTGCTTCTGGGCCCCCAGTAGAGAACACAGAAAATAAAGTTAACATGTGGTTGATGTGGTTAGCCTTCACACCCAAACTGGTATTTCAAGGCAGATCCAAAACATTAAGGTTAAATAACAAGAATAAACTACCCTTTATAAAATGGCAATATTCAGCCTCCGGCCAGCCCCTATACACACAAGCGTGATCCCTTTGGCCTGCTTTATTTTGCTCTGTGACACTTACAACCACCTAACAAACTATATTTACTTGTTTGTTGTCCCTTTCTCATTCTTCCTTCAACTTCCAAATGAGAAAATATGAAGCCAGAGATTTGGTTTGTTTTGTCCCTAGAACATTCTATAACATGGCAGGCACTCAAGTGATAAATGGTTGACTGGATGCATTTCGTTATCTTCCTTTTTAACTCTTAGTATTTGTGAAGTATTCATGATCACTGCCATGCCCACCGCTGAGAAATTAAATCTCCTCAAGTCTCAAATCCAATACCATCCACATTAACTGGGTCTTCAACTTGGTCCAGGACCATGACAGATACTACAGCTTTTTTAAGTTGTTCAACTGTAGGTAAAACAATCACAATTTAAGCACCCTGCTTAAGGTTCTAATTCCAGTTGCCACCATTCGCTTTCATATTGTAGATTACCACTGATGAAAAAAGATAACTTACTCAAACTAATGGTGATGGAAATGAGAACTCAAAGAAATCATCTAAAAAATGTCTTAAATGTAAAAGTACCTTATAAAACTTGCGATGTACACATGTACAAAAGTTGCCATCAAATACTGACAATCAAATCTGTCCATTATCCCACCATGTCCAGGAATGGTATTTGCAAAATCCTTTAGAAACAAACAAATATATTAGCAAACTTTCAAAAAATCACCTGCTACAAAATTCCTGCCTGTGTCTCTTTGGTATCATGGACTCACTCTAAGGAAAATATATTACCATTGGATTTTTTTTTTTTCTAAATAAAAAGTTACTAGAACACATCTAGCAGATTAAAACCACCATCTTCCAAATACCTGCTTCTTTTAGAATTATTTCTGAATTGACCCACAGCATTCAAACATTCATTAAACATTAAATCCAGCACTTACCTTTCTCATTAATGAAGCTTTTTCTAAATAAAAATTATATTAGCAATTACTAATCTAATTTTGTTACAGCTTTCTTAATCACAAGCTGTTTGGGAAGCTATTTTAGTGCTGTTAAAAGATATACAACTGGTTCTAACTTGTTTATACTAATAGTTCTTACTCTGAAATAAACATTTTACTACTATGATAAATATTTCTTCTTCTTAAGTGTTAAGAGTAAAAAATAAAATTACAGTTAGCTCATCTGGGACACATTAGTCCATTAAATGGCCACACTGAGGGAATGGGTAGTAAGCCTCTGCAAACTGGTCCTGTACAGGTAGATTCACACATCTGGGTGCCCAGGAAATGAACTGATTGCTCTTCTAGTTTACTCAGGCACCCCAAAATGTCTGAAATACAACAGCAATAGCTGCTTCATTTCCAACATGCAAAAAATTCTCATCATTTAACAAAAAACCTTGGAGACCATTAAAGAAAATACTGTTAAAATATAACATTTTTTCTTTTTAAAACAATAAACAATTACTGAAAATATCTTTCGTTAATTATCGTAAACCCATTTCCTTCCTTCTCTTCCTTACTAATCAAAGCATAAGAAAGCCACACTAATGCAAGGCCACTCTGCTGTTACAGCCTCTACAAGACACTCTTCCTGCACCACTGTTGCTGTAGTTCTCTGGGGACGTGTATTACCTTCCCTAGTAAGTGGTGAGCATCATCTTGTATATTTGCGTATACTGCATTGCACCTTACATAGTAGCTTCCCACTGGCAAATGCTTGCCGGGTTCATTTATTCCCTGCCCTATCGGCCACGTGTGATCTGGCCCCACCAAACTCTGCAGTCTCATCTCCTACTCTGGACCACAGCCACACTGTTCTTGCTCACCTTCCAACAGGCTAGGCTCCCCCACTCCTCTGTATGCTCTGGAACTCTCAGTTTTCTCTGCAAGACTTCTTTTCTCAAATCTCTGCTTAAGTGCCACCTCCTCAGAGAGGCCTTCCCTGACCACCCAGCCTTCAATAGCCACTCTCTAACCCTGGATGGTGCCTCAGCCATATGAGGGAGACCGAGATAAAATTGCTGAGATAACATGTCACTTTATAATGATCTAACCTAATACACAGGGATAATTTTAAGTCTCTGGAACAGGGGTGAGAAAAGTATGTCCCACAAATCAAATCCAGGCCATGACCTATTTTTATGAGTAAAGTTTTATTAAATCTAGCCATGCCCATTCACTGACATATTGTCCATGGTGGGGAGGGCTTCACACTGCCACAGCAGGGCTCAGGGTTGGGAAGCTGTAATAGAATATATGGTCTGCACATCCTGATAAACTTCCTGTTTGCCCTTTACAGAAAGAGTGTGATGAGACCTGACTTAGCGGAACGGGCAGTTACATAGCCAGAGGTTCTTCTGTGTGTCCCTTCAAGTGAGACTGTGGCAAAATACTAAACTTCAGATGATTCATGGCTGGATTCTAGGGTGAGCACTTGAAAGACCAAGATTCGGCCAGGCGCCATGGCTCATGCCTATAATCCCAGCACTTTGGGAGGCCGAGGCGGGTGGATCACAGGGTCAAGAGATCAAGACCATCCTGGTCAACATGGTGAAACCCCGTTTCTACTAAAAATACAAAAGTTAGCTGGGCATGGTGGCGCGTGCCTGTAGTCCCAGCTACTCAGGAGGCTG